GTGGAACTTATTCTCATCGCGTAATAACCCATCTGTATAGCTCGTCATATTTAGAGAGCTTGGTAATTGTTGTAGAGTTGATTGGCGATTGGCTGAGCTATACTTTATTTGGAACAAGGTTAATCAGCGAAAGACAGGTGCTTTTCGAGCATGAGACGAATAATGTTTAGCGCAAGGATGAATGTTGAACAAGGACATTTGATGATTTTAATCGTTTTTGTATCATGTAATGTGAATAATCAAATAAATACCCTGTCAAATGCATTATCATACATGAGTGCTTTTCATAATTGTATGATGGCCATAAATTGAAGGACAAATGTTTATTTGTTCTTCTCACAATCGAACTTTGCTACCTTTGTGAGATTACGTCACCGGTATTTTGCGATCCTCTTTCTTCGATAGTTTTCGAGAAATGAAACTCTGGCGCGGTTTCTTCTTACGGTTTCTTGACGACTTTCACACGCCAGTTTCGTCGTCTGTGGTAGATAGTTTTTTTGCTGATGACTTTTTTGTGGTTTTATCGTTTTTTGCTGATGACTTTTTTGTGGTTTTATCGTTTAAAAAATCGGAAAACATTTCTGTTATTCAAAATTTAGTTCAAGCTGAAATAGACAGGGTAACAGACTGGTTTGAGAAAAATCATATGTCACTCAACGCTGACAAATGTTCATACACTTACTTTTCACTTGATCCTAAAATAAAGCCCGATTTTAAGTTAACTATTAAACTCGAAGCTCTTGCTCGATACCGATCCTAAACTTTTAGGTATGCGTCTTTCTCACGATATCGTGAGAACCACAAAAAGTCATCAGCAAAAAAACTATCTATCACAGACGACGAAACTGGCGTGTGAAAGTCGTTTAGAAATAAAATAAATAGTAAAGGGCCGAGGATGGACCCTTCTGGAGAGAACCGGCGACTGAGAGGAAAAGCTCTCGCCAATTTTGACAAACTGAGTGCGCCCTGTAAGATAAGATGTAAACCAGTTAAGAAGACTCCCATCGATGCCAAGTAGGTTTAATTTATTTAATAGAAGTTCAGTCGATACACGATGGAACGCTTTTGACAGATCAAAGACAAACCATGAGGTTCTTGCGGGGACACATCGGCTTCTTGTCGAGATACGACTTTTTGGGGAAACACGCATTTCTTGAGAACAAAACATGAAGTTCTTGTGAACATACATCGGCTTCATCGGTTATTCCACAAGAGGGTGGTTTTACGTGGTTTCGCATATGAGTCTAAAATATTTAAAAGAGATTTCAGCGGTCTAACTCTTTCCAACTGTGTCTCACGTCGTCAGGAAAAAATTTCAGGTCTCTGCCGCCTTTTTTGACTGAGATATGAATTTTCTAATAATTGATGGTACGCCTTGTATAGGCGAAATTAAAAATATATAACTTTTGAAAGAAGAGCCGTGCAACCAAATCCTTATAAGATTAACACTAGGATACTATGTGGTATCTGTCGGCAAAAGATCATCGAAATCCGAGGGGATCAGCTGGCAATGTCCCCTACGCGGAAGTTGATTATACGTAATATAACTAAAGCATTGCTAGAGTAAGTACACTAAACAAATATATCAGACGATGGATATAATGGATTGCTATTCGGATATGTAATTGTAAACGTCATACTGATCATTAATGAAAAGCACAAGTAAAACGAAACAGAACCACAAACTATTCTGTGACGCAAAACTGAAATAAACCAAATTAATCAAATTCGTAGTACGAATACCTGTCGCAATTATTTATTCGTCGTATTTCTTTTCGACCAAGTTATTCAACCCTTCCGCATGCGCACAGGTTCCCGTAAGAGATGAATTTTTGCAGTGGAAATGTTTTTATTTGTATTTCCAGTCGTATCATAGCGTACTCTAGCACTTTTTTATAATCTTTTTTCTTATTGAAAACTTTGCTGTTGTTGATATAAGTCTCACCGAGGTCAGTATGGCTACGGCGCTGAAACGCTACAGCGTCCTCTACAAAACAAGCAGTGTTCAAGCTCTGTAGGATCAAGGGTTAGAACAGTATGGACTTTTTATCACAAGTATCATGTTACTATGCGAAAATCGGCTAAATACAATAAAGAAAAATGAGTGTGCCATTCTAAACTTGATCCGGAAAATAGTCCGGAAAATCTCTGCTAACATAAGCTACTCATTGTTTCATCTCATTGTTTCATCTTGGTTCCCAAGAAGAATCATCACTTCTATTATAAAAATAGATCAAAGTAAACATAACATATTTCCCTCACAAAAAAAATGTCCTTCGCGGAGTAACCGGAAAAAAACCGTTTCGCCAAAAGACGATTCGCCACGGCGAAATGCTATGTGACGTTTCGCAAGAATTTGTACAGTGTCGTCAATTGGCGAAAAGTCATCTGACAATTTGCCAATAAGTGGTTATAATACCGTAAACTTTTATCAGTCCCTAAGTTAACTTAGGAGTCTCACTCATTCTTAAATATTATAAACAAATTAAAATAATTATGAACAAACTGTAGTAGAAAAAGGCAAGAATGTAAGTTATATTTTTCAAAAAGTAATACAGTAGCGGCAATATGAACAGCTCATCGGTACCAAGTTGAACACATAAAATCCGCTGCAGTTAGTAACACTCACAGTGAATGAGTTTGAGTTGAAATTACCATTATAATTAATAATAACAGTTCTCAGTACCGTTGTACCAACAGTTGTAGGTAATGTATTATTAAAAGAGACTTTTCAGTTTTGACGGCCAGGTATAAGGCTGTTTAAAGGGTTCTAATTTTTTCTTTGTTTCTTATTGTTTAACTTTTTATTAATGATTTAATCCGAGTACTTTAATTTTTTTCAAATTTTCACGTTGAAAAAACATCGAGATTTTCACCAAAATATGAGGATTAAGTAAAAATTTCGAAATACGCATCAGTCGATTCAATTTTAAATCTTGATTCCACATATGATATTTTTATTGCTCAAAAGTGGCGTTGTGATCGAGAGAATTGAGAAGTACGACTTCTTGGCCTCTGATTTAGAAAAAAAACCATAGAAAGCCAAGATTACATAATACGGGAACATTGTCAAACCCATACATTTGTTCGAGTTTGAATCTTCTATCCAATGGCGTTCAGACCAAGTCTTTGTCACTTATCTGAGCCGAGATAATTTAATTTTAGAAAAAGTGAAGTTTTTAAAAATTAAAATTTTGAGCTGGAGACTTGTGATTTTTCTAAGATGTTTATCAGTCAGCGCTGAATCTAAACATGTTATTAAAAATGTTGCGTCGTCCACGTTTTTGGAAAACGCTTTTTACTTAGTTCAGGTAGTACCAAAATCAGGGTTTTCTAGAAACCCTATTTCAGGGCATTCGGGGGGAAACTTTGCGCTTAACAAATTAAAGAGCACATCGAGAAATGCTTATAAACCGGAAGACAACTTGACTGTATTATTGAGATAGGCTAGATCAACTTTCTCGTGTAACACGCTTATTCCGACATAAAATTGATCTAATGAATAATTCTTTTCATGATAAAAGTACGGATAAATGATCAAATCCATGTTGTAACCAGACAGTCTCAGTCTTAACTTAACTCCCCGAGATACGAACTGTATTTTGCAAAGAGGTAAATAATCTAAAACACTTCTCCTGTGCACATATGAGAAAGTAAAATTAAATCTAGAATCCGTTTTGTCTCTCAACGATATAATCTACAAAACGATAAGAAAAATGAACATCAAACAAACAAAGAGTTGGAATTGAAGCTAATAAAAACTTTCCAAAACCCCTATCAAACTGAACTATTACAAGAAAATATATTGTGTGACTTTTAACACGAAGATTATGTCTAGTGGCAACCTGACTTAGTTAAAGCAAAGGTATATTTTGGATTTTCGCCATCTTTTTTAAGAGAGGTTATCATGCAAGGATTATTTTCGAGTATTTAGCAGCTTTGATGAAATAGCACTTTTAGAACACATGTTGTATGTTTCGAAGTGATTCGCTCAGTAGTGGAAGGATTGCAAATCAGACTCGGTTATATGGAATCTATATGGATTTGTTTTAGATTTCGACGATTCATAGTTGAGACATGAAAGGGCTCACTTATGAGTAGAAATCCATTAATGTATCACAATTTTTGCAGTATTTTTTCTGGTTTGAATCGTGTGAAGTAATAGACGTGCCGACAACTGCTAATTTATCTAATATATTCTAAGTAAAGTATATATTACCAGACGTCATTAAAAGTCTTGTATTAATTTGTATCGTCATCAAAGATACTCTTTGTGTATTCATCACCTTACAGATTCGATATCTATGTGCATATCAAAATTTTCACCGAATCCACATTGACTACTGCCTTTCTGATTTTATCAGTATTCCGATAATTTGTTGAATATGACGCATACAGTCAGAGTAGTATATTTGTCATCGTTATTGAAATTTTGTGCTAATGATTGTTCTGTGGTTCATAATTATATATATATAATTATGTAAATGTGTGCGTATATATATGTATATAAGTTACTCAACCTTTTCTGGCTTTCGCTATCATTTCTTAAAATATAAAGTATAACAATGAATACAATCGGATTTATTCTTTTAAATATTTTGTCACTTAGTGTCGAATGGAAAGAGATACCGAATCATGAAGTTTTGGTCAACAATGACACCAGTATCATCGCGGAAAAAACTGGTACGTTAATCAAATTAAGCGGTACTACTAGCATAGTAGTATCAATTCCACTTACTCAACACGTCTGCTTTTTATCACCTCCCAGACTTTATCGATATCTGTACATTTGTAACAGTTCTCCAAAGGACAAAATTACACAATCCACATCCAAATTTTTAAGACAAAAAGAAAAAAATTCAACTATATACAATTCACTACAAAATGTGCTTGAAGATATCCATCAGAACGGAATATAACATTGAGACGCGAAAAAAGATTTATAGCTGACTTAATCACTTTAGGTGTCGGTACTGCAGCTCTTAGTTTATCGTCATATAATAGTATTCAAATATCTAATATAAAAAGTACGTAAGAAAAAATCCTGGTACATGTACAACAAAGCGATGAATTATTAAAATCAACAATAGCTTCTGTAATATCTGTTACCGAAAATGAAAAATTAATTGCAAAAGAATTAAATAACTCTCGACACTCGATCGATGAGCTAAAAGAACGATATATGTATCTTGCTAACGAACTAAAAACGATCGAAAAAACCGTTGATAACATTGAAGAAAAGTTATTACCGGCTATCGAAGACAAACTCCACTAGATACGAGCATCACTAAAATAACTCATAGATGGAAAACCAAACATAGATTATCTATCAAAGGATGAAGCTGGTCAATTATACAATACACTATTGCAGCGTTCACCAGATTTTCTGACACAATTTGAACAACCTTTATTCTTAACAGCAAATCGCTTATTAGCATCACAGTCGTTTCATCTCGCTATAAATAACAATGATACGACAAACAGGAACGAAAAAATAAATGATGCTTTATTAATTATTCCAACCGGCACATTAATTATTACACAAACATTTTTTACTTCGAGTGATGATAATGATAGTCACTCAATTGTTTATCAGTTAAATAGCACACCATTTTTTAATAAACATTCTTCATATGAAGTGTTCGGTCTTCCACGCTATATCGGTATCAATTCTCAACATAATACGTCGATTTCATGGTATTACAACAATCGTAATTTAGGAACCTGTTATTTTGAGAAAATATCTTTTTGTCATGTTTTACCAGCGATAATGAACAACACTGAAAATGATTGTTTAAATAATATGTTTTTGGAAGGTGATAATAAACCATGTTCATAAGCACCATCAGCCAAGACTATTCCGTATACCCATAATATTCGAGAAAATAAATGGATAATATCAGTTAAAAACACTACTATTTGTGGTGTGAAAGACATAGCTGATAAGAGTAACTTCTTCCGTGAATTTTTCACTATCAAAAAGGTCGCACTCGTCAGTTTACCATGCCATACACTTATGCAATGTGATCAGAAAGTTTCTATAGATGCGTCACATCGATACTGTTCAATAACTTCATCTGCGCCGATAAGTGAATATTATATGATCAACAATGGCAGATTTCTAAAAAAACGATCAAGTCGTACGTCGAATACGCAATGCTACGATCGATAATAAGATCTTATTGCCATATACTAGCGACGCTAATCATCTAGACAGTATCAGCAAAAACATTTGGAAATCATTAGAGAAGCAACGTGGCATTCAAACGCTATTGATCTAAACCATTTAGATATACATACCCGACATTTTAGTTAGTATTCATTATCATCGGTATTATAACAGTAAATGTTATTATTATCGGGATGATTATCGTCTACATCAAATATTGTATTAAAAAAGTATCCGTCAACGTCACGTTCCATGAAGTTCACTGTTAAAGAAGATACATTTTAAAGAATATTTAGAGAGCGTTATTTTGTCGTTATCAAATGATTAACTAAAAACCGTGACTACTTACACACAGTAGTGCTAATGCTTATCGATGTAAAAGAATAATCATATTGTTTATACAACTATCTAACAGTGAAATTAAGTAATGTAGACGAAACATTCAAACAGCTTTTTTCTTTTTGATTGATTCGTATCCTCCTGCTGGATGTGAAAAGTAATTAAGTTAACTCTAATCTATACACTCAATATCTTACTATTGATATTGTTGCATATACTTATGCTTCCTAATTCCACATTTTTGGGCATAGTTCTATTATTAAAAAATTTTCTGTTTATTCTCCATTCATCATAAAGACTTGGTTCTTCATTTTAGAATCTATTTGAGTAAGCCAGGCTGTTCACCGAGGAGAAAAGGGCGTTTTTATCCAGCGGACAAAAGTTTAAGCGACTTTTCATTATTTTCTATCCATTCTATAACAAACGGTTTTTTGATGGTTTGTAAATGTCGGGACGAGACCAGTTAGATAGAAGAACCTGTCAGTCATAAGTCTGAGTAGAAAGAAAGTCTAAAAAATGGATTTCTTATGATCGTAAACCTCATAAAAACTGAAGAGTTTAATTTTAAAAACTTAGTTTCAAGAGTTCTGTCAACTTGAAAAGCAATTTCAACTACACCGCTGGAAAGAGCATGAAAAAGTTCATATAGTACTATAATTTCATTGATTTCTCGCAAAGGACGGGGTGCAATAAGAACGAGGATCGTCCCCATTTTAGATCTTCTCGAAAGGTATCTAGAATAAAAGAGCATACAATTTTATGGGGTTCTACATCGCTGGTTCCCCTTCGGACCTCATATCTGTCAGAAAATCGATCAACTTTGAACAATAGCTCCGCGAGCCCATTCCGAGGTGTTTTTCGTAATTTTCTCAGAACACAACAAGTTTGAAGGAAAGTGTGTCAAAGAAGGGTGTGTCTTTCGAACACGAGAACGTTAACTATAAAGTTAAAGTTATCATTGAAAACAGTATGAAGGACTTAAAAGTCCGTACAATGGAGTCAGGACTCGGTGGAGCCGATTGTTTACTAT